GGGATGGATTTAGAACATCCTAAAAAACTCCCCAAAGCTGCGGGTGCCTCTCACCACCCCAAAATCCTTATTTAGGCACCTGCAGAACCCTCAGAGGTGCCGAGCCCCCGGCAGGCCTGCCCTGCCCTCCCCAGCAAGGTGAGCTCTGGGATAACAAGGGCAGGGTGGGTTTTTTTGGGATCTGTTGACAATCCTCCTTCCTGTGCCTCTCACAAGCTGCAAAATCGTAGTTACTAAAAAAAAAAAAGTCATTTTTTTCTGCTGCATGTCCCCATTTCCTGAGCTTTTTCCCCACTGCAAGCTCCTCCTGAGAGGGGCCACGTGCTGCTGCTGCTGCTGCCTCGTGAGGGGTCAGGGAAGGGACTGCTGGAAATTCCCAGCTGAGTAACCCGAAAGTTAATCAGCTCTGCTAATTAGAACTAGTTAGTCCCCTCACCATAACAACCTGGTGAGGAGCAGGCTGAGGGCTCTGGGTGTTTTTGGGATCCCACACCTGGGGATGCACAGGGAGGATCCAAAGCCAGCTGTGTGTGGAGGGATCGAGGTCAGGTCTTGGGGGTCTCAGCCTTTTTTGGGGTGTCCTGGTGCCAGTGAGGGCTCCCAAACACCCCCAGGGTGAGGTGTGGGAACAGCCCTGGCAGAGCCAGGGAGCAGCTCATTCCCAAAATCCTGGCAAGCCATGACCCAACTCCTGGCTGCTGTGGGATGGGATAAACTGGGAGATGTTTTAGGGCAGGGCCCTTTCCTGGGATGGGATAAACCAGGAGATGTTTTAGGGCAGGGCTCCAGCACGGGAGCTGAGGGGCTGCTCAGGAACGTGGGGGGATGCTCAGGAACGTGGGGGGCTGCTCAGGAATGTGGGGGGCTGCTCAGGAACGTGGGGGACTGCCCAGCTCGGGGGGTGCTCAGGAACATGGGGGATGCTCAGGGAGGTGAGGGGCTGCTCCGCTCGGGGGGCTGCCCCGCTCGGGGGGCTGCCCAGGAATTTGAGGGGCTGCACAGCTCAGGAACTTGGGGGGCTGCTTAGGAACGTGGGGGGATGCTCAGCTCAGGAATGTGGGGGGCTGCCCAGCGTGGGGGGCTGCCCCGCTCGGGGGGCTGCTCAGGAATTTGAGGGGCTGCACAGCACAGGAACGTGGGGGGCTGCCCCGCTCGGGGGGCTGCCCCGCTCGGGGGGTGCTCAGGAACGTGGGGGGCTGCCCCAATCGGGGGGCTGCTCAGGAATTTGAGGGGCTGCACAGCTCAGGAACGTGGGGGGCTGCCCCGCTCGGGGGGCTGCAGCCTTACCAGGCCTGCAGGGCGCAGATGGGGTCGATCTCGGTGACGTAGACGATGGAGCCCATGGCCTTCAGGGCAGCACAGCAGCCCTTCCCCACCTGCAAGAGGGACGGAGCTCAGGGCACCCCCACATCCCCAAATCCCTGCCCTGGGACAGCCCCAGCCTCCCCAAAACCCCCGCTGGGCTTGGCCCCAGGGGTTGTTCTCATCCAGAACACCCCAAGGTCTGGAATGTGCAACAGAGATTCCTGTGATCCCAGGGAACCTTCCAGAGCCTCCTGCAGCCTTTGCTCCACTCAGGAAGCTTTAGGGGTAATTAACCTCGGAGGGTTAACGAGCTTTAACCTTTGGCCAGCACAGGCAGTGCAGGAATCAAGGTTAAAATGTTCCCAAAAATGTGGTTACAGCAGGAAAAACGGACCCATTCCAGCTGCTGGGACATTCAAAAAATTCCAGTAGAGCACCCGCTGCAACCGGTGTGAACTGGTCCTGAGAAAAACCGGGAAAAAGGGAATATTCCCATGTGGAGAGAGGGTGGGTGAAGGGATAAATCAACATGAATTCTCTCTTGGCCACACTGGAATGCCCAGAACATCTGCAGAACCTCGGATTTTAGTAAAATCAGATTAAATATAATATTAAAATTATAGAAATACGTGTTGTATCATTATGTGGGCATGCCAATATCCAAATATGAAAGATATGGAGAATATTTAATGTATTTTTTAAAAGATTCAGCCTTGGCATCTCTTTAACAATAAAGAAATGAAGAAAACTTTCAGTTTTTGTCGAACTCCTGCGCTTTGGAGGGTCCTGCAGGTGCAAAGACCCAAGGGTGGAGGAAGCTGTGCTGATTTTACACAGGGAATTCCCAGTGGGAAAAGGGGGAAAACTGGGAAAATGGAGCCCCTTACCTCCCCATAGCCACACACCACCACCTGCTTCCCTCCAAACATCATGTCTGTGGTCCTCTTCAGGCTGAGGAAAAAGGAAATAAAACCACAATTAAAGGTCAGAATTCCAGCCCAGCACTGAGAGCTGCTCCAAGGATGGATCCCACAGCTGGATCCTGCATCCCTGAAATTCCAGGGGAAGAGAAAACCCCAAAAGCACCTAAAAATTCCCTTTTCCTTTTGGAAGGGTGGGGGTTCTCTTGTTCTTCCAACAAAAGAGGATGGAATTTGGGTTTGGAGCTCTTTTCCCGTTGATTTTTATCCGTTCACCCTTTGTTTTGACACTCCCCGAATACTGAAGAGCCTCTCCACAATTACTTTAATCTGAATTTTTATTGTCAACCCCGAGTGCCCCCCAAGGAAGAGCCCCAGGAGCAGCAGGGGAGTGGGAACTCCGTGCCAGAATCCCAAAAGCAGCTCCCCCTTCCTCTGGCTTCCTTCTGCTCCCTCCCCAGCGTGTCCTACATTCCAGGCTATTTTTAGATCTGGAGTAAATAGGTTAGCAGTGCAGGGAAGGTGAAATTCCCTCCTTTTTCCAGGGAAATCCAGCTGAAACCCACAGCAGCTTTAAGGCACCTCTGCTCTCATCTGCCCTGACCCCATCTCCAATTCCTGCACCAGGCTGAACCCAAATCCCAGCTTACTCTTCAAGGTGTTTCCATGGAATCCCAGGAATTTTGGGGTTGGAAAGAACCTTAAATCCCATCCCATCCTATCCCATGTCCATGTCCATCCCACTGTCCCAGGCTGCTCCAGCCTGGCCTTGGACATTCTGGGGATCCAGGGGCAGCCCCAGCTGCTCTGGGAATTCTGCTCCCATTATTTCACCCCCCTCATTATTCCCATTCCTTGGGAGAGGCTGCTGCACACCCCAAATTCACGGATTGTTCATGGATTGTGCCACAAACGATGTCACAGCAAGGACAAAACCTGTCCCAGCCTCACTCAGCCATGAAGGAATTTGGGGCTGGAGGGACACGGACACCCAATTCCATGAAAAGAAAGGGAATGAAGAACTGGAGAGAAAAAATCCCTGTGGGATTCCTCC